CAACGCCTTCTCTTGTGCTATCAGTTCTAATCCCAGGAGAAAAAAGCGCGGTCCAAAAAGTCCCCAGAAGACCTACATAGTCTGAGATCACACACAACCCCACAAATGATTGGATGTACAGTTGTTGATTGACTTATGACTATTCATTGAGCCAGTTAAAGTGTATGATAACTACATATAATTGTTTTGCCTGGTGTTCACAAGCTGGAATTCTATTTAACATTTCAGCTTATAATATAATGTTCTTCTGTAAACTATTCACTTATTGCAGTCAATATTAAGAAGCTTTCAACCTCAGCGTCGTCGTCGATGCTTGAATATGAAATGGTTCATTATGAATTTTCTCTTACAGATCTCCATATGGAAGTGCCTAAAATTGTTTTTGCATAAATTTTGCTGTTGTTCTACAGGGAGAAGCCAGTCTGGAAGAGGCCTTATTTTATAGATTTGGACATTTTCTGCAAATTCCTATGTAATATTGTAATACATAAGTTATTCATTTAACACTCTACTTTTGCTGAATCTTCTGAGAAAAAAGTATTAATATGAAAAACAATATTGTTGTATATATCATGCTACAGAGCTCGGAAGCAACCACTAATGCTTGTTTTAAGGTAGACTGTCTACATCACACCGCTTGGTGTTTATAACAACCTAAGCAATTATAAAGTGAGAAATGTCACTTAAATAAAAGTTTAATGAAGATAAACATCTCATATATTTTTTTTGGTGTATACCATAGCGGGAGCTAGGGGGCGTAAATCGTAATCTAAACCCTTTGACAAAAAGTTATACTGTATAAATAAAAGTCAAACCTTTTTTTTTTTATATATATATACAAAATAGATATTGAACCAACATTTTTTATATTTTAAATCTCTCTGTAAATTTTTTGGCTCCTTCACTAATATATACATCATGTATAAATTTTTTTCCCTTTTCCCAAAAGAACCCTACAGCCTATAGGATGTCATTATATTCCCAAAGAACAATATAGGTAAATTGTTTTTAATATATGTAGCTTTCAAATATCTGTAGCCTAGATGGCTCAAAATGTACAACAATTAAACCATAGTTAATACGCCACCAAATATGTACCAGAAAATTAACCTATACATAATACCTAATATCACAAAACTATTAAATTATAGCATACACTTAATTCTTTTCAGTCCGTTACAAAAAAAAATGTCTAATTCCTTTTTTAGCAGTTCTTCAATTCCAACTTTCCACATAACATGTTTAAGATCACAGGATTAAAAAACATTTCAGTATATTTGACATAGCTTTAATTTAAGACCATAAAATTCAAAAATCTTCTTTACTTTCTTAAACTCTGCTCCAAGTCAAAATAGGGGCAAAAAAATTGACGAAGAAAGTATTATACATAAAATTGCATGTTTTTTTTAAAAATGGGCTGATCTTTAATTTTTGCTCTTCAAATAAGCTGGTCTTTAGATTCGAACATAACTTGTAGGATATTATAATACAAAAATATAAACTAAGACTCGCGATAAAAATGACTGTTACAAGAACATAAATTAAAGACCAGCACAAAATAAGGACAAAAGGACAAATGATATAAGGTAGTTATATCATTCTGTCTTGGGCCATAAATGGGCCCTTACTCATTTCAACCCGCCGGCAATATGACCCACAAACCATTTTGCCGGCCCAAAGATCTACACTTCTTTGATCCTTCTAACTACCATTCAAAACAAAACAATTTTTTTTTTCATTATAACTCACCAAAACAAAATTTCCATCAATCTTATTTACCTTCAATCTCCAACATTTTCTCTCAAAAAAACCATGTTAACATCACCGGTCCACGATGACACGACCATCTCCTCAGCGTCTGCAACTGTCAGCTCGACCACGTTAGAGGTAGGAGAAGGAGAAGGAGAAGTTCGTGTTAGCGTGGACATGGAGGTGGAAACAAACATGTTCAATGTACATACCTCATTTTCATCCTCTACCAAGCCCCATGCAACGTGTAGAGATCCATGCTGGAACGTCATGCAATCAGAAGTCTCGAGTTTGAGCCTGGACGATTTTTGCTTCATTAGGAAACTTGGGAGTGGTGACATTGGTTCTGTGTATCTTGTTGAGTTGAAGGGTAATAATAAAGGGTGTTTGTTTGCAGCTAAAGTGATGGATAAAGAGGAATTGGTTAGTAGGAGTAAAGAAGGTAGAGCAGGGACAGAAAGGGAAATATTGGAAATGTTGGATCATCCTTTTTTGCCTACACTTTACACTACTTTGGATACTGATAAATGGTCTCTTTTGTTGACTGAGTTTTGTCCTGGTGGTGATCTTCATGTTCTCCGGCAACGGCTGCCGGAAAAAAGATTCGATGAAGCCGCGGTTCGGTTAGTAGTGTACTTCTCCCTCTACCTTTATGTCTTTTCTGTTTAACATCCGTTATCTGAAATCTTATTGTACTAATAAACAACAAAAATATGTCACTAATCCCATTTAACGATAAATTATTTTTAAAAATTACGATAGATCAACGACAACCCCCCCCCTTTATTTCGTCATAGATCAAGTGTTGATGCACGAGTGAGGGTACAAGTTTGACCGAATCTAATAATTGTTGTCCATATTATTAGTTCAGAAATCAATAACTAAAAATCTAGATTCTCAAACTCATAGACTTCAAATTTTGAATCTATCTCGATTGATATGAGTTGTCAACCTCTCATGCATGCGCAAACAATTAACATACAATAGGAAAGAGAGTTGACCGGGAGTCTTGTGGATGAGCTATCGGTCAATGTCTCACACACGCGTTGTATATTCTTTTATTAAAAGTTTGTCTGCTGTTGAAGCTCGAACCCTAGAACTTTGATTTAGGTTTGAAGGATTTCTATCTATTCCCATCAGTACACTCATTTGATAGTACATCTACAATTAATTATTCCAACTATATTTTATAATTAAATATGTCGTATTGATGATTGATGTAGTGATCAATGTGATTATTTGTACAGTTTGTCAATGGGCCCACATTGCTATGATATATTTAATATTATAACATGGTATTTTTAATGTGTCCTACCATAATTAATTATGTGCTTTCAATTATTAGTTGAAACTTCTTGATCATGACCAAAAAAATTGAATTAATGTAACATGTGAGTTTGTCTATTTGATTTAACAGGTTTTACACATCAGAAGTTGTGGTTGCTTTAGAGTATCTACATATGATGGGAATAATTTATCGTGATTTAAAGCCAGAAAATGTGTTAGTAAGATCAGATGGTCATATTATGTTAACTGATTTTGATCTTTCACTAAAATGTGATGATTTAGTAATGCCTCAACTTGTTCATGATGAGGGTACTAGTCCAAATTACATACATTATAATAATTCAAATGATCATAATTCGCCTTCGTATAATTCATCGTCACCGTGCATCTTGCCTAATTGTATCGTGCCACAGTACGTCTCGTGTTGGTACTCTAAGCACATGAGAAGACGAAGAAGAAGAAGAGGAAGAGGAGGAACGAGTACTGAGAGACCCTTGAGGTTGATAGCTGAGCCGATTGAGGCTCGGTCGATGTCGTTTGTCGGGACCCACGAGTACTTGGCCCCGGAGATCGTGTCGGGGGAAGGACATGGTAATGCGGTGGATTGGTGGACGCTAGGGATTTTCATGTACGAGTTGCTTTATGGTGTGACACCTTTTAGAGGACTTGATAATGAGTTCACCCTATCGAACATTGTGGCTCGAGCCTTTGAGTTCCCTAAAGAGCCATTGGTCCCAAACATGGCTAAGGACTTGATCACTCAACTTTTGGTCAAGGACCCCACCATGAGAATGGGGTCCATGATGGGGGCCACAACAATAAAACAACATCCTTTCTTTGATGGTGTGAATTGGGCACTATTAAGATGTACTACCCCACCTCATATTCCAACAAATTTCAATAGTACTAGAGACTTTGTCTCAGCTTATGATGATGATTATGTAGATTATTATTAATTTTGAGTATTGATGATAGTCATTTTTATACTATCAGGTTAAGTTTACGTACAATAACATGTAACTATTTGTACTAAATTTGATATGGTAGTTTGAATGATATAATCAGAGGATAGTTATAGTACGGAAAAGGTGAGTTAATTCTTGCAATGATTGTATGTTGGGAGGTAATAGGATCCTACTTAAGTTTAAATACGTTGTTGAAATTTTGAATATAGTTCGGGAGGGTACTTGTGTCTTATTTCCCCTAAACAATTTAATTTATTTTTGTATGCAACTAATGATTCTTCAAATCATATTTATATTTGATAATTAAAATATGGTAAAATTAAGTAAGTATATTAAAATATTTTCCCTTTTAACTCGAAATTTCAAATTTCACTAATTTTATTGAGTGCATATCTTTTTTAAGTATTTGATAAATATATTTTTTTAGTTATATTTTTATTCAGGCTACTTTCCATATATAATAAGTAAGATTTTTTTTGGTATGTAACTAATGTTCCTTCAAATTAAATTTATATTTGATAATTAGGTAAGTATATTAAAATATTTCCCTTTTTAACTCTTAATTTCAAATTTCACTAATTTTATTTAGTGCATATCTTTTTTAAGTATTTGATAAATATATTTTTTTAGTTATATTTTTATTCAGGCTACTCTCCATATATAATAAGTAAGATTTTTTTTGGTATGTAACTAGTGTTTCTTAAAATTAAATTTATATTTGATAATTAGGTAAGCATATTAAAATATTTCCCTTTTTAACTCTTAATTTCAAATTTCACTAATTTTAATGAGTGCATATCATTTTTAAATATTTGATAAATTTATTTTTATAGTTATATTTTTATTCATGCTACTTTCCATATGTAACATGGTAAGAAATTTAATTTACTTCTATTGGGGAAGAATTTATGTGTATAAATATCACGGTGATCCATTCTTTTATAAGTACCATTTCTTGAAATTAATTAGTTCATCAATAAAGCTTATTTTATTCTAGTAATGGAGGGTAAGAAGACTGCCGGACGTCAAAAAATTCCCATGGAAAAAATAGAAAACAAAGTTGCTCGATACAGCTCATTTTCAAAACGTCGATTGAATTTATACAAATTGGCCGGTGAGCTCGTTCAACAGCATGATGTTGACATAGGAATAGTTCTTTCTTCTCCAACGAATAAGCCTTATTCATTTTTCCATCCAACTGCTGAAGCAGTTGCTTAGCGTTTTTTGAATCCAATTATAGAATTAAGTGACACTACAAAACTTGTTGTGACAAATGTTCGAAACAATGTGAATGAAACCGAATATAAACTAGCAGAGTTTAAAATTAGAGAAGATGTTGCAAGCAAGGAAACAATTGCACTTGACCAAGCCAAAGAGATGAGAGAAATTGGTTGGTGGGAGGATATTGAAAAACTCAAAATTGATGAGTTAACTCAGTTTGAAGCTTGGCTAAATGTTGCTGATTATAATATGAAAGATCGTTTGCAACAATTGGAAAATGAAGTTGCATCTAATGCTTCATAAATAGATTCATCTCTACATTAATTTTTGAAATATTATTATTTGTTCTGCTTTTGTTCTTTTATTTATTTTATTTTATAATTTTATATTGATATGCTAGCTATTTAATGTACTCTACAATGATATATTATGAAATGTTATTTCCATTAATATCAATATATTTTTTACTTGTTTGATCACTTATTTTCTTATGTTTTGTTATATAAGTACTTTCTTAATTTGTTGTGTTTTTGCACTTTTTTTGTGATATAAAAACAAGAAAGTTATATGTTTTAATTCTTACAATCACTCATGGATAATTTTCTTTTACATGTATTTAATACTTAAAATATATAAATAAAAATAATAATTAAACATTAGACTTTTCAAGAATATATGGTCAAACATGTAAGAGAAAAAAATATATATTTGTCCTTCCCACCCAACAACCGCGCCATCCTCAACCCCACCCCCC